AAACACCAGAACAGAACATGGTACGTTCATACATTACCTCAGCGAGCAATGGGCACTGTGCTGTCACTGCCAGCCAGCGTGCACACTGCACACAGAATCAGAAATGGTTGAAAATTGAATTGCACAAGYTAGTAGCACAAGTTGCACAACTTGAACTGTGTTTATGACTCAGAAGAATCAGAAGAGGGTCAAGAGAAAGAATGAGGAGAAGRACTCAAAACTGAATAAATGGTAAATACTAACTGAATATCAACAGATTATATACTATATAGTCATTTGCCAATGGGCTTTTAGCCTTCTAGACCGCCGTTGTCCAGTAAGTGTGGTAAGTGATTGTACTACCATTGTAAACAATGCAGAGTCATTCATGAATCATGATTGACAAATCATGAATGACCGCCCCAAAACCGGCAGTCTCTCTCTCTCTCTCTCTCTCTCTCTCTCTCTCTCTATGTCCCCTTCCTTTTTTTCTCAGCCAATGGCCGCTCATCATCGTCTGATGAGTAGTCCGATGAACATTCCTCTTCATCATCACGTGGCCTCTTCCTTGCCACACCCTCGTCCTTGCCCCCCTCATCCTTGCTCCCCTCTCCTCCGTTCTTTTCAAGTGTTTGCGCAGGGTTTTCCTTGAGTGTCTGCGCAGGGTTGTTCTCTCCCTCCGCAGTCATGGCATCTGAACCCCCCACATCCGTCGCTGGCGTTTTTCTTGGCCTGCCTCTACCTTTTTTTTGGCGTGGAGGATCAGGCTGTGCCGACGATGTCCCTGTCTCCTTTTGTGGTGTTGTCGTCGCAGCACCATGAGGCAGTGTGTCACCACCCCCCTTTCTGTGGGCACGCATGTGCTCCTCTGCTCCCAAGGTGCGTGCCCTCCTTCGCACTTCAGTTTGGGAACGCTTGACGAGGAAGTTGCCTGCCTTTGTCAATCCACACCAGTCCCCGCAACGACCCTCCTCAATCTCCTCAAGGTTGCATTCTTCACGGCACGGAACAACAGCTTCATCCCCATCTTCGTCACCCCCGCCATCAACAGGTGGAACAACATCGTCACCAGCCGAGGTAAGGCTCTTCAATCTGCGTTCAGCCAACTTCACTCTTTCTTTAGCCTCCTTTTGCTCCTCCTCCGTCGGTGGGTCATCCCATTCAACAAGGTCTTTTGCCCTCTCCGGCATCTGCTGCAGCGAGTCAACCAGGCGCATATTCCACTTCGTGTACACCAATTTGTGCATTGTCTCAGGGGCCAAGGCATTCCGCTCTTTGGAGTGAATTGCTGCAAAAAGGCTCCAATTCCTTTCGCAACCTGAAGCCGACGACCCTTGCCCCAACAACCGAATGGCATGGGGCTGCAAGTGTTGCAGCTCATTGCACCTGCGCTTCCACAATGCTGCAGGGTTTTGCTTACGGGCTGCATCCGTGGCTGCTTGCGAACTGAACTTCCCAATGTTTTGAACCCAACAATCCACTTCGTACTCCACCTGGTCGCACACCTCCTGCGGCGACCCTTTCAGCCATGTGTACACCCAAGTGTAGAATCCATCTTGGATCTCTGGATCGTTGTGCGGCTCAGATGTCCGGTACTCCGGATCCAAGAACAGGGCTGCACACTGGAGGGGGGTGGTCATAGCATTCCATCTGCGCATGACCATCACCTCGATCTCCTCCCGGTCCTCTGCCGTCAGGTCCTTGTTGACTCGCAGGCATTCCACTATCCTGTCCATCTTCGCATAAACCTTGTTGATGGTTGGACCGTTGCCATCCACCACCTTCAACAGCAAAACAATGTCGTATACGGCATTGATTGCCTTGTTGACATTTTCCCAAAACCCTGCTGCATCAAGCAAGACATCTTCCATCTCGTGGAAGGTCGATCGCTGTGCATGGGGAACCAACGTCGCTGTCCACCTCTCGTCTGTTGTGACCATAGCCACCAACGCTTTTCGCTGCTTCTTCAAGCGGTCCAACATGTGGAAGTTGGTGGCGAAACGCGTTGCTGCAGGTCGCAGTAGTTGTCTCCCACCCGAGTGGATGTAGTAAACATCCCTTACTCGCTGGTGGTTATTGATGAACTTCACCAAGTCATTCGCCTTCCCCACCGTTCAAGTCACCCACTCCATCTTCCCAACATCGTGCAACACTAAGTCAAGGCAGTGTGTAGCACATGGCACATGGAAGATCGTAGGGAATGTATCCTCCACCAATCTGCCAGCTCTCACACACACTGCAGCGTTGTCCATGATCACTCCAACAACACTTTTCTCACCATCTTCGCCAATGGACTCGGACAAGATATCAAAGTACGCTGCTGCGCCTTTGTCCTTGCCTGACATGCAGTGCGACTTCCAAAAAAGCACACCGGTCGGAAAGGAGACCATTACATTCAAGTGTGGTCTGCCTCTCCGATCAGTCCAGCCATCAAGCTAGAGCATGCATCCAGATCGAGGCCAGCTCCTTTGCTGCCGCAACCCCCCCTCCTCGAGGCGACCCCGTGACATGTCCAACCTTTTCGTCCGCTGCGCGTCGTACTTTGCAGGGATGAAGGACCGCTCTGCATCACGAACCTTATTCAGCATGCGCAAAAAATACTTACTGCGCACCATGTTGAACGGGACTCCTTCGTAAATCAACCAATCATCTATGGAGCGTTGTGCTTCTTCATTCTTCGAGATGATTGCCCGCCCTCTTCCAGCGTGCTCTGCCGCACATTGGTTGTCATCGAAAGACCAGTCTTGACTCTGTTTTCCGCTGGTTGGGGGCTGCTGCACTCGTCCTCGGCGTCCACGTCTTCCATGCCTTCGACGTCGGAAAGGCAATCATATGACGGTGCCCGAGGCACAGCCTTTCCCAACACCAGCGCAATTGCCTCCAGTCGGCCCAACTCCCTCCTCTCCTTTTCCTCTGCCGACAACCTGTTGCCTAGCCTGTTGATGTTGCACCTGGGCTCTTTTGTCGTGGACATGAAGTGCTTTGCGCTCCCAGGGAACAGCAGTTCGCAATACAAACATTTCCATATGTAGTTCCCTTTCCCTGGCTCCCCATGCACTCCAACATTCTCAAAGTGGCGCTTGATCGCATCTGCACCTGCTTTGGGCATCCTGAATTTGGTGGCGCGTCTGGCGACAAGTTGACGACAATGCAGCAGAACAGCAAGCAAGGGGTGTCAGATCATTTCTAAGTGCGCTACTCTCTCTCTCTCTCTCTCTCTCTCTCTCTCTCTCTCTCTCTCTCTCT